TTTACCAGATTTAAAATAAAAAACAAAATTTTAAAATCTTTTTTTTTTTTTTTTTTTTGGCTCGGCCGGGCAAATGGTCCCGGGGCCACTCTAGTATCCTAGAATTAACATTAAAATTAAAATTAAAATTAAAAAATAGGTGCTTCGTTTCCAAACGCAGCTACCTTAAGAATCCTGTGCAAAAGGTTTCTTAGTATTTCTTACCTTTATAAACAGACTGCATGATTTCAGCAATCCTTCTCAGCGGACACCAAATATGCAACACTGATGCAAAGAACCTGTGCTGACTCTTCACTCCTTGTCTGGCCACCACCTTTGCTGACAAGAGTCAGCACAGCCAATCACAGCATGGACAGCATCAAAACAAAAGCTCAGTAAAAGCAGATGGGTTAAAAAAAAAAAAAAAAAAAAAAAAAAGAGCAGATGGGTAAGGGCAACCTTTTTGTCTTTTGTGATCTCTACAATGATACAATGATTACAATCACTTCCAGCCAAACAACAAGGCCACGTGGCCCTATATCAGCAACACCCACTATCCCATTCCTCACCACAAACGGTCAAAATCCACGACTGTCAATCCACCACATCAGCTGCATCCGATGAGAAAATTCAACTGTGATGCGCACACAATCATGAGCAGTATTCTGTGCATCATCGTACAGTTCAAACTTCAAAGTCTTCAAACATATACATACATTTTTTCCACACAGGTACACAGAACTGCCAACAACCATCCCCAATCCTTCGATCGTGGCTACATTAGATAAAAGCATTCAGGTGTGCTGCGCGCACAACTTCGAGCAAGCATTCTGTTGCATCATGCATTTCAAATATTCATATACAGTTTTGTCGCACGCACACAGGACATCCAACAAGCATCCTCCGCCACTTCCTCCCTCGTCCAATCAACACCACACACACACACACACACACACACACACACACACACACCGGGAGCTGCAAGAACAAATGAAAGGGGTATCCCAAAGAAAGTAAAGTGAACACAATTAAGGAGGGGATTTAAACACTTCTATTATACTCCATGTTGCTCACTATAGAGGTGAAACTGTTTCATTGTTGGATTGTCTCAACTCAAGGGCCTTCTTTGTCTGCAATAATATTGAAACTCCTTCGATTTTGCATGAACTCATTCCGGTGGAATACGGCCCGTTGGGGTGAAATTTAAAAACACGCACACACACCCACACACACACACACACACACACACACACACACACACCATACACACACACACACACACACATGCACACATGCATGCTAGAGTTAGCTGTTTCGATTTTTGCTCTGCTCATCTTAGTGTGCTTCATATTGGTTGCCATGGAGGTAAAGCTGTTTCAAATTTGGATCTGCTCATCTGGGTGGAAAAAGGGGTTGTTGTGGGGACAGTGTACAAGACACGCAAACACACACATCCATACACATACATGCACACAGGTATGGCAAGCCATGTAAGGAGGTGCAGGAGAGCATCTGGATGGATTTTCATAGTTACCGCACAAACTTCTGTCTTGAGCAGAAGAGCAATGTGTGGAGCATACTGATTGGTGCCAATCTTCCAACTGTTGCATTGCTTGCCAGGTTTGCCTTAGGAGTCAGTAGTGGCCATGTTAATCCTCTTCGCTGAGCTTTTTTGCCTTCGCCATCTATCAACGACATCACCTCTATAGCCCTGATATTCCTTGTTCACTCTCTTTTTGTCATGATCCATCACACCGCAATTGACGCTGTCCTGTTCGCAGATAAGCTGCAAGCTCGTTCTGATTGTCTTACTTCGTTTTGGTCTTCACTCATGCTGCTTGGCACCTGAATCGATCGAACCATGCAAGGACATATGAGTGCCATACGACTATGTTTGTCAGCCAGCAAACCGGAATAGTAGACGTGGAGGCTGACTCCACCTGCCTTTTCCTCTGGAGTCTGGAGGATGCACGATACGCCGTCTGAACCTTGAGGACAACAGGTTCACGTGTCCAACTGAAGTAGGTGCTTATTGTGTTTAACAACTTTAACCACCACTCGGAAACACAGCACATCATGGCATCCAATGAGGATGAAACCGTCCAACAATACAGACCGGTTGATCATACAGGCTGATGCAGGGAAACAGGAACACAGCATGTGCACAACCTTGTGTAAGCGGTTTACGGTATGAGCCTATGTGACGTATGGTGGCCAACCCAGCAGTAGATGGGCCAAGCAAACTTGAGAATCGAAATAGATCCGATCCGAAAAATTCTGCAGGCTCGCGGCTACCGAACCAACACGACGCCAAGCAAAAAAGAAACGAAAAAGTGTCGCGCTGACATTTCAGCAAAGCTTGGCGCACAGGGGGAACCCGCCTCAGCAAAAAGAGTCTAGGATCTACTGGTGGTTTAAGGCGGGAGTTGAGTCAGCTGTCTGCCTGCATTGCAACTTCTAGCACTTACATTACAGACCCGAATTTTCGGCTTGCCTGCCTGCATTGCCTGTGCCAATCTATGCTCTAGGCTTCTACCTGCCCCACAGGATTGGGATTTTTTATTAATCCCTTATATTATAACATCTCATGCAGGGGCTAGGACACAGAAAAAGGAAGGCAGCATCCGCACAATCTTCTGTTCACAAATTACAGTACGAGCCTATGCGTGGTATGCCCATTACTGCCACCTTAAGGTGAGATATGAGTCCACTGTCCAGCTTGCCTGTCCACATTGCCTGTGTCGATCTATGATCCACGCTTCTATCTGGTATGAAAGATAGCCATTGGTTTATCCTTTGTATAACAGGGTAAGTCCATCCAAGAAGGTGAAGATTTGTAGCTGCGTAGCACTGTGTTCGCATTCGGAGGCGAGCCCGGACATGTTCGCCTGAACGCGAACTAGCGCCCGAAACCCTCCGAACGCGAACATAAAAAAAAAGGAAAAAAGTCTCAGAAAAATCTGAAAAAAAAATATATACATATGTCATGTAGAACAACAATACAAGCAACTTTTGCCTTGGAGTCATGTTCAAGTTCTTAGCCAACCGTGAGTTAAAAATCAAAAACCGAAAAAAAAAAAAAAAAAAAAAAAAGATTTTTATTTTTTTTTAACGAAAAAAAGAATATGTTCGCCCAAACGCGTTCGCGAGCTGTTCGCACGAACGCGCGAAAGTGGAGGGGCGCGAACACGTTCACCGTGCTACGCAGGTTTGTAGTTCCTTTTTTTTTGTTTTTTTTTTTTGCGATCCCCAACTCCGCAGATTAGAAATCTGAACAAGGTCACACTGCACAAAGTGAAATGGAATAAGGGGTATTAAAGGCCCACAAAAAAAAAAAAACTTTAAGAAAGGAAAAAAAAGATGAAAAGAAATGAGAATAACAAGAGAAAGAAGAGAATGTGAAGAAGGTACAACAACTCTCAAAAACGAGTGTTTATTGCATAGAAGGCAACTGCGTACCAAGCCACTGAGCTTCTTGCGCAAGAGGTTTTCTGCATCACGAACAGAGAATTCCCGATTGCGACACATGGCCCTTGTGACAGAAACTCCAACCCGTCGGCCATACAGATCACATATGTAATCCACCTTTTTCCAGTCCCTGCAACAATATTGAATCTGAGAACAGGCAAAGTTGAGCTGCAGTAAGTATATGGAGACATTGGAGAGAGTATTTCCTGGTAGCTCTCTCTCTCTCTCTCTCTCTCTCTCTCTCTCTCTCTCTCTCTCTCTCTCTCTCNTCTCTCTCTCTCTCTCTCACACACACACACACACACACACACACACACACACACACACACACACACACACACACACACACACACACACACACATATGCACACAATCTGATAACGCCTGCGCACACACACGTGTGCATGCGCATTATCACATTGTGTGCATAAGAAAACATGTGTGGGCTTTCGTATCACCTAAGTATACCATCACCTACATGTGACTAGATTCATTCATACTTCAATAATCATAAGAGGAAGAAGAAAAAGAGAAAAGGAAAGGGAGGAGGGGACAAAAAGAAGAGCAAAACATGAAGAAAAAAATTGGAAAGCAACAAGCTGAGGCTGGAATATGCAAGATTGATGATGCAGAAATCAAAGCAGCAGACTCTCAACCAAATGAATTTGGGCTTGAGCAAAATTGTAGAAATTAAGGACAAGTAAATTACAAAGTTAAATTTGAATTATTTACAGTATTCATAGCTGTTGGGAAGATGGAAGCGAAACTCAAGGCTTTCCCAGCCATAATGGGGAAGAGCGTAAGGATGTCATTGTCTTTTCTTTTTTTTTTTTTCTTTTTTTTTTTCTTTTTTTTTTTCAGAAACAGTTGCAGTTTTATTATATAAAAATCCATGAGGTAAGGAATTCCTCGACATCTCAACCCGGACAGAGCTGGGGCCATTACCCAGATTTGCCTCGAGATGGAAACCGGGTCCAACGTCCCCTTGAATGTAACTTCAACAAAAGGGAAACTGGACTAAGAAATGGCAAACAGAAATAAAGGAACAGCTAAGGTACCCAGCAGTAGGGTTTAGGGAGAGGGGTAAGGATGTCTTTTCTTATTTGACTTGACTTGCTATTGGAAAATGTGATTGACTTGCCCCCATGATAGTGCCTATGGCATGCTTGGCGTCTTACCTTCGAGACGTCCAGTTGGTAAAAGCAAGTGCATGGTAGCTCAGTGGACAGAGCTCTGGTGTTGCAACAGGGAGGTTGCGGGTTTGATTTTGTCAGCCCGCAATTTCCCCCGAGCACAAATGGTTGGTATAGATTGCACCCCACGTACTTGGCCCAAGCCTGGCATAGCACCTTTAATAACCTCAATAGCTCTGTGGGTAGAGCTCTGATATCGTACCTTGGAGGTCCCAGGTTCAACTCCAATACACATAACACATAACACATAACTCATAGCTCATAATTGACTGGGGGGGTGCAGGGGGGGATGGGCTGGAGGTTTTCCCTGGCAGGAATCAGCCCTGTGGCGAACTGGTGCGACGGTTACAGACCGATAACCCTGCCCCCTCCATACTATGCTCATTCATGTCTATACCTGATAGGTACACAGGCTGGTCTATAGTTCGCTTAGGCAGGACACTACCTGGGGTGGCTCCGAGGAAACAATCGGTTCCGGACTAGTTTGGAGTGACACAGGCTAGTCTAGAGTTGGCTTAGGTACTGACACTGCCTACGGTGGCTCCGTGGAAACATTCGGTTCCGGACTAGCCTGGACCATACAATCCAACTATGGAATAATCCCAATAGGTCCTCTGGCCGGTCTAGAGTTGGCATAGGTGAGACGGTGCCTAGGGTGGCTCCGAGGAAACATTCGGTTCCGGGAAGCCTGGAGTGGCACACAGGCTGGTCTAGAGTTGGGTTAGGGACACTGCCTATGGTGGCTCCGTGGAAACATTCGGTTCCGGACTGGCCCAGAGTGGCACTCATACCAACTGTAACATCATCCCAATAGGCGCCCAGACTGGTCTAGAGTTGACTTAGGTAAGACATTGCCTAGGGTGGCTCCGTGGAAACAATCGGTTCCGGACTGGCCTGGGATCATAAACTCAGGACTAATAATAACCAACTGAGGGTGCAAGGGGGGATGGGCCTGAGGTCTTCCCTGGCAGGAATCAGCCCTGCGGCGAACTGGTGAGGGTTACGGAATCGATAACCTTGCCCCCTCGGCATGAACAATAACGCAACCCCTAATACGGCAATAATAGTAGGCTATGCTAGGAACATGGCGCCCCGGTTGGGTCAGAAGGGCTGTCTCAGGTAAGACCTTGGTCAGGGTAGACCCGAGAGGGCCAAACAAGTGCCCCAGTAGATGAGGAAGCAGAGGTTATGCTAAGGAAGCAGAAAGATGAGGTCGGTAGGGGTGGGTCCTGTGAGCACCCAAAAAAAAAAAAAAAAGAAGAAGAAGAAAAGAAAAGAAAAGAAAAGAAGGAAAATGTGATTGACGGAACACTTAACCTGATAAATGATCATCCCTCAGACAGCTGCCAGAATCTCGAGGAAGCTGAAAGAGGGAAAGAAACATTCAATAACAAAATTTGGAAAATGCACTAAAGATACGAGAACAAAACCTTACCGACGACCCATCCTTATGCATGAGCCCCATGCAGACAGCATGAAAAGAATTGGGTCAATGGAGGTAACGGGGAATAAAGGGTCTGCAGATCAGAAATACAAGCTTAGTGAATCAATGTCTAAGCACTGCTTTCCACGATTCGAGCCCAACAACAGGTCCAAGAACATTGAACTTGATTGAAGGGCTACGGAAAGAGGGGGTTAAAGGGTTAAAGGGTTTAAGGGAGCATAGAAAATGACACAAAGCCCATGCTGGAAATAGCAGTGAACTTCTATAAGGAACTCTACCAATCAAAAACACCAATTCCCATCCCCGCACAACGCAGAGCCGCAAGGGAGAAAATGCTACAATACCTGGACAAAACCATATCAGAAAGGCAAGCAGAAGACCTAGACAAAGTCATTATCTAAGGAAGAGCTATGGTTTGCAACTTTGCAATTCAAAACATGAACAATAACAAGGCGAGACATTGGATCTCGTACTCGACTAATTATGTACTAGAAAAAGAGTTTCTTTTTTTCCGTCCTGGGACATGGGAGCCTCTATTCTAGCAAATACGACCAGGACGATTTCATGACCCGGGGACCAATTCCTAGAGTAAGTGCTTCAAATTCTTCTAGGCAAGTCTCGGGGGGTTACTACATAAAATTCCAACCTGACGGTTGCCTGGGAGTGCCTCTTCCACTCACTGATTTTTTTTTCCCAATATTCTACAGTTTGGTCAGTGATTCCGAACGCAACTTTCTCTGGTTTCGCACTTGAGTGTTTACCCAGAGATGGGTTGGTTGACTAAGGAATTCTGTGAAGAGTTATGGCCAATGATGGGAAAAGACCTGTTGAAATTCTATACCGACAGCTGGGATCAAGGAGGACTACCGTCTTCACCCGAATAGAATGCCCCATCATTAAAGCTGTATTTGGCACAACTTTCGGTCCAGATGCAGCGATAATGACCAGGCGTTCTATTCGGGGGCAGACAGTAGGGAAGGTTCTCAGCTACAGTGTGATTACTTTACACTCCTCTGCAAAAAGGGAGAAATAGAAGACATAAGGAATTACAGACCCATTTCCCTGTTAACCTTTTAGTACAAAAAAATATTGGCTGAAGCACTAGCCCTTTAGAAGTTTAGAATCCTGAATATCACAGATAAATGTTTACATTTACACCAGGCACTGGCAGGCAGGCTTTATTCCTTGTAGATACAGTATGTGGAATCGCTCTGGATAATATTCTGAATGAGGTAGGAAACAAAACTGCAGTGGAAATTTGGAAAACAAATGTAAGGCCGCGATCCTCTTCTGTACTTTTGAAAAGGTATATGTATGACAAAGTAAACTGGGCTTTTATAATTGCCAGTATGGAAAAAGTGGGCGCAGAACCAAACTTCAGAAAAACGGGAGTGGGATCAAACTTCAGAAAAATGGGACCGGGACTGAATTTCAGAAAATGGAAAGAATCCAATGCGATGATGTAACGGGCTGCATGCAGATCAACAGCATGCTTTCAGAAAAAAAAACTACAAAGGGAGTAGGCTGGGCGCCGAGCGCCAAGTAGGGAGATAAGGACTGGATACATATGTCGGTGGTGGCGAGAGCAAGTTCTCATTGACATTGGTTTTTCAGTGCTACGATTCTCCATTGGTGTCATATTGGTGCAATGCTACTTCTGTAGACGGTGACACGATCTGGCTTTCAATGTGATTGTGCAATCTGAATATTGTCATCTCACTATTGCTCATTTTCCTTGCAACACCCTTTCGAAGATGCTGTGAGTTGTTCTGCCAATTTCCAATCTCTTCTTTCCTCATTCCGTTTTGTGGACCATTTCTCGATTTATGCGTGTCATCCTTGCGCACGGGGCATGCTAATCTTTTCACTGTATCGTTCCGACATGCGTGGCTCAGGACTGACCATGCCGAGGGACATTTTCTTCTTTTGTCATTCCAAATATGTGTTATCTTCCATACTGCTTCGGTCAGGCATTACACCACCGTCGGTCTTTGCTTGTGACTGTCGAGCTGCACTTCCCACCATCTCGTATTTCCAAAGAGTGGTTGCCTTAGTACTTCTTCTTTGGATGGGTTTGTCTTTCTTTCTTGGAAAGTTTTTGATTAGTGCACTCCACTAAGGTGGCAGTGTAGGGTTCTCTAGTCGTAGTCCCAGTCTTTGGACTCCATTCTTTGCACCGGTAACATGCCTGACATATCTTCAGGGGGATGGTGTTGGTGCCAGGCGTCTACTGCCAACTCTTGCTAGGTTCGCCCATGGAGATCTTCTTCCACTACTACCATCTTCACCCGAATAGAACGCCGGTCATTATAGTCGTATGTGGTGCAATTTTCCGTCCACATTCAGCTATAATGACCGGGCGTTCTATTGGGGTGAAGACGGTAGTAGTAGTTTAACAATCCACTTGATCTGTACGGCTTTCATTTCCTGTTTTGGATCTCTGATTTCAAGTCCTCCTTCGGATTGGCTGTGTGTGATGTAGTGGTAGTGTCGAGCTATTTTTGGGATGTGATTTGTGGTCATTTGGGTTGCGTGAACGAAGGTAGGCTCTTACTCTTCTGTGCAATTGAGACAGTGTGTGTTGTCTAGTGCTGTCCAGATTGAGGAAACATACCCGGTCGAAGCGAAGAGACTGACGAGTTCAGCACGAATGCCCTACCCAGGAGTAACATGAATGTTCGTCCCCATCTTCCCATTCTGTTGAGTGAGTTAGCTAAAACATGTTATGTGGTGCCATTTGAAGGTAGGGGCTACACTTTGTTAACAGCACTCCTAGATATCTCGTTGGATTGTTCGGGATCATGGCCCGACATCACTGGGGTTTCCTCCTCTGCTAACCACCATTCTGTAGATTTCGACCAATTCACCTTCATTTCCAAAGCCAGTCTGAAGGCTTCCATTGCCCTGGCCAGTGCATGGAAGGACGGAATCAGACACTCTAATTAGTACTGTGATATCATCTGCGAACATGAGTCATCGTGGGAGAAGTTAGCTGATGTGCTGACCCAGCATCGATCTTAGGAAGTCTTTGACATCAACAGCCTCCGAAGTACTTGAAGATGTCGCCCATGCAGACCATCGCCAATACCAGGTATGTGCCCTCACATCATCATCATCATCCTTCTCTCTCTCTCTCCCTCGTCTTACTCCCATGTCTTCCCTCTTGAAACCCGAAGACCACCCCTGCGCCTCACTGTACATCCAAGCCCGCCAGCTATGGAGGCTGGGCTATGGCGCTGCCCTCAGCAGCGCCCTCCTCCTTGCGCGACCGCACGTGCTTGCACTTCGCCTCTCAGCGCTAGCAGCAGCCCACGAGCTTCAGCTCCAGCAGAGCTGCCGCCAGCATGCAAGTGCCCGAATGAGCTGCCAGGCAGCTCTTTCCTATATGGAAAAGAGCTGGTCTGCCTTCGCAGCCTGGCTGGCCTGGGCCTGGGCCCAGAAGCTTCCAGTAGGCCCCAGGATGCTGCGCCTCTGGTGCAGCTACTGGGCCTCATTCAGTTGGGCCTCCCAACTGTCTGTGTATGAGGCTGCAAATCTCGACCAGGGCCTGTGCTTTCGGAAGAGCCTGGAAGGCCGTGGAATTTCCTTGCTGCTCGGCCTGTGTTGCCTCAACCAACTGGTGCGACGAAACTGCCTGGACCCCAAATATGAATTTGACAGCTTAGGGCCTCTCGGGATTTGTTAGGCCCGCCTTCACGTAGGGCGGGCACATTTGCAGCAGGGGCCCCCTTAGGCCTGCCGAGGACCCAGATCCTCGCAGTGTGATGACTCAGAAAACAAACAACCTAAAACAAAATTAATTCAAAGCATCTCAGAAAGCCGGAAGACCCTACTCAACAAAGACTTTGCGTCGAAACCAGGGAAATGGGGAGGCCTTATTCAAGAGGTACGGCCAACAAAAGCATTCCAATTCCATCATAGAGTGCTCAACAAAACCCAGCAATCAGTATTCACTGCATTTTTTTCCAATCCACCACCAGAACAGAAAGATCTCAGCAGTAGTATAAATACTAAATACGAATGTGGAGTGTGTAATAACTTAACAAGTGATGCCTTTCTTCTCAGTTAAATCAGAGTGCTGGGGCATAACCTGAGATGGATCTTTAGGCCTGAAAGGCTGAAACACCCATAACAGGTTGGGAACTCAAACTCAGGTCTCTATTTCACTGGGTGGAGAATGGGCATGGGTAGCAGAAGTGGGAAGGAAAAAGTGAGCCCCCAATACCGATATCTGACTACATAGTACACAGTGAAAGTAGGTTATTCAATACTAACAAAGAAAAAGGACCCAGAAGCAACCCCAAACCAGAGGTGGAAAAAAAAAAAACATGGGGCGCAGATTCCTGGCCAACTGCTTTTTTCTTTGAATAAAATCAAGGGCGACGGCCTTGAGATATCATCTTTGAAATTTGACTGGAGATATCATCTTTGAAGTTTGACTGGACGGTCCCAGGTAAGTTCGGCAGTTGTTTTTCACTCATCTGATTCCACTGCAATTCGAGCTCAGGTCTGGGCAAGCGGCCACGTGTTCTCTGAGCCGCTCTTTTTTCATCAATAGCTACTCTTTTCCCCTACTTTCTATCTTGTTTCCCCTCGCTCCTTCCTGCACCTCTCCTCCTTTCTTCCTCATCCTAAGTTAGAGTATTTCATGGTTCCCCCTCACCCGTGCACCTCCACCTTTCTCACCCTCCTTGTGCATTGAGAGTGCAGCTATGGCAGGTAACACATTGCATCAGCGAGATTGTTTTCCCTCTTCACAAGCGGTTAACGGGGATCCCCACTTTCAGGTCTTCACTAACGGGTCCAAAACTGAAATTAAAATGGCCCTTGGGTTTTGTTATAAATGGCATGAGAAGTTGTCTGAAAACTGACGTCTCGGTTAACCGCCTCTCACTCCGACAATACACAAAGGTTTACCTTCAACAAACAGACCAGGTGTTGCCCAAAATTCAACCACGGATTAACAGAAAGGAGCAAATATCAAAAACGAACAGGCATGTGTTTTGTTCGGGCGAGGCATCAGCCATAGGCATACATATGGATTACATGTGGTGCTTGAGGTAGATTCTACCCCCTGGGAACTTATCTTCATCATAACAAGGTGGAGCAACCTAGAGCCGATCCAGTCCTTGGGGCAGGACAGCTGCCTTGCACAGGCTTACCGCCAACCGTTTTTTTTTCCCGTGATCTGCAAAACTGTGTGCTCCTGTGGTGTATGATCGAGGAGCGGAATAGTAATCAGAATAACTGAGTGCCAATGTGTTTTGATCAGAAAATAAACTGAGTGTCAATCTGTTTTCCACTGCATCTAACGGCTCTCTATTGATGTTGCAAATGCCACACAGCTGTTCAGTCCAGTGACTAATTATGGAAGACCCATGCATCGCAGTTTCTTTGGGGGGTAAGCATGGTCCCGTGCAAGAATGAAAAGAATAAATCAGGAAATGCGTCCCCTCCAAGGAAAGAGGTTCTACGAGTTGAGGGCTCAGTGTGTTGGGGTTGAGGGTTTAGGCACAAGTCCCCCGAGGGCACGAGGCACGAGTAGCAAGCACGGTCCCAACCACTCCGGGAAGTGGCCAAATACTCTGAACGTTCACTGCCCTGTAACCTCCCCACAGTGGGACTCTCCTCGGCCGACAGAGTCCAATCCAGCCCACATATGGGGCAATGCAAATCTTCTGTTCCTCTTTGTACATGGCCACAATTTGAATTCCGTTTACAAAATTTTTGATCTCTCAGTTCAAATCCGCAGCTCAGTCTCCCTCCGCTATATTTTCAGAGGCACGGCCTGAAACGGAAGGGCGGCCGCCGATAAATCGAATCCGCGGCCGGTCTTGATTTTCGGGCACTGCGGCCTTGATTTTCGGGCCGGCGTGCAGTGCCCGCGACCTACATATGGGAAAGGTACTGGTGGTTTAATGTGTGTGACAAAGCTGATTGGCTTCTCAACGAGACAGGATTCACTGCACAATGCATTGACTTGGGGAATCAGACAGCAACACCAAAAAAAAAAAAGCAGACAATTGTCAACTGAAAGCAGAACTCACCTCCATCTCACTAACCACACTAGTTGCATGGAACTTTTTCACGAAGTAATCGACAGATAATGCCTGTACGTCAACACACAACCGGGCACAGAGTCCAAACGTCAAGAAAATTGCACAAAATGGAAGGCATTTACGCAACTTCACCGCACCAGAAAGACTATGGTCATAGGGTTTGTGAATGATAAGTGATGGTTGTCCAGGGATAATGAGAAGAGATCAAGGGTAGAAGAGTGAGGTTGGAAGGTTAAGCAAAGAAAACCTTCTATTCTTCTTTTTTTCCCCCCGCAAACAGCTGATCCCCAAATAGGCCACTGAAAGTGTATCTCCGTTTAAACCTGGACCATGTTCGTGGCCTGCACCTCGACCATGTTCAAAGTTTTGGACCATTTCTCAATTTATGCATGTCATCCTTGCACACAAAAACTTGTGGTATGCTTACTTTTGCAAGGAATATGAGTGAGAACGATAGACAGAAAACCAAGTCGCAAGGTCACGAAGAAGCTCAGATAGTCATGAACCAAGCAGGGAGTGCAATGCACCAAGATACCGTCCAAATAAGAGCAATACAATGAACTCAGGTGTCAATGTCGCCACCCTCTGGTCACACCAACAATGTATCCAATGTCGCACTTAATGTCTGGTGCCCAGCGCCCAGCCTATCCTACTCAGCCTATCTAGCCTGTCTACATTCTTGCAACATGATCACATCGAAGTCAACTACCAATGTATGTGACGTCAACACCAATGCTGACCACCAGCATACACCAGGTCCGTTCTCTCTCTCCCCTCATCACCCCTCGTCTCTCCACATCCTGTCTCTTATACACATCTAGATGTGTATAAGAGACAGCTCTCTCTCTCTCTCTCTCTCTCTCTCTCTCTCTCTCTCATCACCCCTCGTCTCCCCTCTGCATGTGCCTCTTACCTGAAGACCACCATCGCCACCACTCGCACCCGCACGCTCGGCCCGGCTACGGCCGCCGTGCACCCACTGCCACCACAGTGCCCTCTTCACCGCTTAGCACCCACGCGCGCCCCAGCCTGCCTGCATAGTGCAGCTTCTCACGACAATGCAGCAGTGCGGCCGCAATGCCTGCACAGGCCAGAATGCCCCAGCGCTGGGGCAGACACTTTCCTTTATGGCAAGTGTGCCCGTGTCTGGCTGACCTGGCCAGGCGTGTGGGGGGGCCCAGTAGCTTGACTCTGGCCCCAAGTGTCTGCGCCCAGGCCCAGTTTTCGATACTGGCCTGGGCCCCGTGCAGTTAGGCACATTTAGGAAGCTGCCCAGCCTCCAAGTGTTTGCAGCATTCTCATTGGCTCTCGGCACATGTGTGACGACAATGCTGCTTCCTCATTGGCCCATAACCAGTCCGTGATGTGTCGGCCTCACACAGCGTGTGCCCAGGGCGCAACCACCTGAGCCCTGGGCTCAACTGTACAGCGCAGCCCTTTGCTTCTGGAAAGAGCCTGGAAGGCTCACGTTGCTCTGTAACCAACTGGGATGCTGCAACTGTCTGAATCCCCCACATATGGAAAAATGTTGAAAACAGGCCTCTCGTGAATATTCAGGCCCGCCTTCACTTAGGGCAGGCACAGGCTTGCTAGGGCCACAGCCCAGAACACTTGTATGTCTGAAAAGGGCCCTGCAAGGGCTCATTCCTCGCATTTTCCATTTTCCAGGGTGAAGTCTGAACAATCACAGACATTTCCACGAGTGTCTAATCTCAGGGCACACTCACACTAGCACATACAATCGAAATTATATGTGAGCCAATTTGCGATTATACGGCACTTCCCAGTCACACAGCACACCCGTATACATCACAAAACAGAGAGGACAGAGTCTCGGCCTGCTCTAGGAATGCAATTATACAGGCCGAGGGGTCACACAGCACGATGCATAAAAATCAATCCCTTTTTCCTGTTCCCCCCCCCCCCCCCCCCCCCCTTACGAGAGCTGCCCACCAAATGTCGAATTCTTTTTTTTTTTGGTTTCCAGAAAGAAACAGGTCTAAAAGACATACGCGATTGCGGGGACCTCCAGAGGTTCCCGCAAAATACATAACCCCGCGGCTGTCCAAGCCGGCTGACATTTAGGTGCCCATTTGCGTGAAAACGCACAATACGTAGTCCTTGTGACCCAAAAAATCACCTACAATTTACAATTTTATGAAAATGCGTGCTAGTGTGAGTATGCCCTCACTCAGGAGTCCAAACAGTCACATTTCCCGACATGCATCACCCCAATACCATGGCACTGTAATTGCACAGCTCAATTGCAGAGGAGGAAAAGCGCAATCACAAAAATCAAGATAGGTACGTGCGTACAATTGTATTATTTTGAGTCGCCAGTGGAAGACGAACCGGACTCCTGCTCCCAAGAATAGAAGGAGCTAAGAAGTAGAAGAAGAAGAATATTGCGCTAGCTCAGTTGGTTGAGCACATAAGTGGCACTCAGGAGGTCGGGGGTTCGATACCAAACTCCGTCCTTTCGATCCCCGCAGTCTCCTGGGGGTACGCTTCGGGTTCACCAGCGGAGATTGTTGGCTTGGGCCTCCTGGCTTGTTGTGGAAGTAAGTGGTTCTTTCCGGCCCGTGCCAGGTGTCAGGAGCCTGGGTACTGCTCCCCGCACAGAGCAGAGATAGGTAGATGTAGACCTATAACCTCAGGATAGCTTAGCCTTGGCCAGTGAAGTGTAGTCTCCACAAACACTCTTAGCTCCTTACTCGTAGACTTTGATCCTAAGCCCGGGGTAGGTAGTGTTAGATTAAAAAAAAAAAAACTGAGAGAAGAATATAGGGTAGTAGATGCAGCTGTTCCCCCATAGTGAGGAGAAGACAGCTTCCATTTTTTCCAAAAAAAAAAAAAAAAAAAAGAGAAAAAAGAAGAAGAAGATAGGAACTTTCAGGATGATGTGCTGTGGGGCAAGCCGGTAGGTGGTCGTGCGAACACCACCTGTGACTAGCTGGTCTTGGCACAAGCTTGGCAGGATGATGAGAAAGGTTCTGAAGGCCTGGGGTTCAAGAAGCAGGGCAATATGTTACTGCGGCAACTTACCACGGCAACAACATTTAGCTGTCTATTACGATTGCAGTAGGTGTGTGGATCGCTACCGCCTTCACCGGAATACAACGCCCAGTCATTATAACTGCATCTGGACTGAAAAGTGGCCCCAATACAGCTACAATGACCGGGCGTTGTGTTCGGGTGAGGACTGTAGGTTCCATCCGACAGCCATCTACCAGATCCTTCGATGCAGTTGCTGGCCCTGAGAAGACGAGACATCCGCACTCTTCATACGCAACCATCGATATGATACTGTCCATTTCATGAAGCCAAACTGAAATTTGAGACAATGCCATACATCGCAGCTCAAGAAGGAGAACGAAGGAAAGAAGAAGAAGAAGAAGAAGAAGAAGAAGAAGAAGAAGAAGAAGAAGAAGAAGAAGAAGAAGAAGAAGCAGAGAAGCTGGAATGCATGTCAAGTTCCTCCTTCTCTAGCCACCATCATCTACCCCACACCATCGCCTTCACCTCTTTATTACCCCTTTGACCAGGTAAGTTCGTATGAAATTGCTGCAGTTTCATCCCCTACGAACCGACATAGGCAGTTCCCGCCGGGGAAAAATTCAGTTGTTTTTTTTTTCCCGTTTTGGAACATAGCGCCTATGTTAGGAATACTACATACCGATTTAGAATATGATCAAAGCTTCTTTGTGCGGTACGTGAGGGTCTGGCTTGTAGTCGCTGCCATTTAGAATAGTGTAGAATCTTCTTGGTCTGGTAGAATAGAATCTGACGTATGGTGAATTAGA